CCCAGGCTTCCCCGCATGGGAGGAGCCGGCGGCAACGCCTGCTGCGCCTGGCCAGGACGATCCAGGCGCTGCCACTCAGGATGTTCCAATCGAGATAGCACGGGACCCAGGCAGTGTTGCCTCGGCTGCACCAGATCAAGAAACGATGGTACAAGTCCTAGCCGAACAGCAGAATATTGACCGTACTGACCGTACTGAGGGCGACAACGAGACTACCCTGCAGGCAGAGGCCACACGCATTCGTGCGGACTTGGCCAGAATGTGCGGTCACATTGACATCACGGACATCGGATCCACCGAGTACACTGGACTGCCGGGCGATCGGTTATCGCTGACCGAGATCGAGGGAATCGGACGTTCGGTCGCTTCCTGAGCCAATGCCAAGCTCAATCGTGCGGCAATGAACCAGCTGGGTCATTCCCTTGCTTCAGGAGCCGGTGGCAACACCCGCTGGGGCACTCGGAGTCGTTACCGACGATGGAACTCTATGTGACATTTGTTGGCAATACAGCACCCCCGTAGGTGCCGCAGGCAAGGGCGGAGCTCAACCAGTGGACCAGGAACAACCTGTCCCACAGCGAAGTGGATCGCCTCATCTCCGACGGGGCGAGAGTCTTCATGGGACGGCGCTCCGAACTCGGTGAGCAGCGTAACGGATTGAGGCATATGGCGACAAAGGCAGAAATGATGTACAAAAAGCGGTGCGAAGCGGGTTCCCCACCTGCAGGCGCGCGCAGGCTGATGGGCGAATTCGACGACGACCGCCCATTGCACCATCCTTTTCCGCAACGTCATCCAGCGCTGCTTCAACGATTCCGGATTCCACCACCAAATGACCGGAGCCCGCGAGGCTATCGATCAAGTGCCTTGGACAATAGAAGACATGCGGGCGGCCTGCGGCATAGGATGGACAGAGGCACCAGGCAGGAGCGCGGCCTTGTCACGATTGCCGTTCCCCGTGGGGGCGGCACCGATGACAAAACCACGCGGCGCAACCTCGCCAGGGTCGCCTCTGTTGGACCTGCCCTGGGATCGACTGACACAGGGGGAAGGGTTCAGGGGTTAGAGCCCATCCTGGCACCACCCCCACACATACACCTACTACACATGGCGCCATAGCGCCGCCGCCTCGTGCTGCCCGCGGCGACGCTGCTGGAAGCCGCGCCTCTGGCGCGCTGGCAGCGACGCCTGCTGGGCGGAGCGGCGCAGCCGCCGCCCCGCAGCCGATCGGCCAGCATCCAGCCGACGCCGGCGCTGGTAGCCGCAGACCAGTGACGCTCCCGCGCGCCGAGCGGGCGCGCACAGCCGCTGATTATGCGGCGCGGTGGCGCCAGCACCTTGAGGGCAGCCAGTGGGGCCAAAGGTATTGGAGCTACCACGGCGAGTGCTGGGTGTACAGCGCGGAGAACAACGACGAGTTCGTATACATCCGCGACCTGCGGCGCAATCGTCGTTTCCGCACATGGACCCCAAGGGCGCCTTGGGCAACGTACATGACCGGTTTCATTGGAATCGACGGCCGTCGTGTTTGGGCCAGCGAGTGCTACATGAGAGGCAATGCCTAGTAACGTCGGCCGCAAGGCCCACTGCTCGAGCATGCTTGACCTTTCTCTTTGACAAGTTCGCCTCGAGCAGTACATGCGCGCACGAACTATGGCCACTTCACTTTCTATGATAAGTGGCTTCTTATATAAATCTTGGTGAAATCCCTAAGGGGCGTTGCCGAGGGGAGTAAAACAGTGCAGAATTTGTTTATGTAATTTTCGTGTTCGTCAACGCGACGCTGACTTTGTTTTGAATGTTTGACTCCTCTGTGCGACAGCGTCCATATTGATGGCGAGGGGGCGTTGATACTGATCTGATGCCCAGCTTTAGTTTGATTGCTGGTGGCAACACCTGCTGCGTCTTCGACGCAGCAGCTTTTGATGTTGTTTTAGATTGGTAAGATCCTCTTGCTCCGCCCACCCGTGCCCCATTCTTCTCCGCCCTCGAGTGCCGAAGCGTTTTTTGGGGGCGCGCCGAGGGGGGGCCAAGCGTGCTCGGGGAAGAAAGAGGGGCCGTGGGTGCTCCGTCGTCCTCGCCCTACCTGATCATACCAGCGGGTGTGCTGCGTACTTTTGCGCACCGCTGATGTGTTCGGGACACAGCTGAGGCGCTATATACTTTTGCGCCCTGCTGACTGCGAATTTTAAGGCGTACAAGGGTGGCGGGTTCTTTCCTCCTTTTTCCCGGCCCTTGCGGGCGGGATTCGGGACGGGTGTGTGTGAAATGAACCCGTATGATACCCTCATATATACTCCTTATTCTCCTCCTTCCTGGCCGTTTGGGCTCAGGTGTTGGCGTTGATCAGACTGTTGATCGCGCAGCGCAGGAGGAAACTATCCCCATCTTTCCCTACTTTCCTGTACCTACGGATCAGGGGTTCTGTACCTTTGTACTTCAACCCCATACGCAATTTCTAAGGATTCGAAATCATATGTATGGTTGATCCCCCCTGCCCGCCAACATGTCTTTAGGGTGCCTCCACCAGGGCTCGCGCTCGTTTTTTTTTGGGGGGGGGGGTATGTATGTATATATATATATATATGTATATATATGGTATATATATATATACATATATATGTACATATATATATATATATACATATATATATACGAGGGAAGGCGAGGTTGACCAAACTGCGATGTTGGGCCCCGATCTACAACAACAATAGCTCCCGCGCGGGACGTCGGCACAATTTATGCACGAATCGCACTTTACCGCGGGACTTCCTTGCAGTTTGTCCAGACGCCGCGCCTCTGACATTCAGGAACCACGGTCTGGCTGCGGATGTTCTCACGATTTTTTTGGGGAATCGCGCTGTCGTTCGAGACTTCCTCGCGATTGCATGCAGGACGCACGCTTACCAACCGCATGCTCGACCTGGCCGCTTGGGCCCGCCATCCCGACCCGCCCGTCAGGGTCTGCCGCCCGATTTGCCCGTCCGGTTCCGCCACGTGTTTTCTGCTCCTGGCCCCCCTGCTATTTTCTCTCGTGCTCCATCCTCCTCCCTCCCCTGCCTTAGGGGTTGCACGAAATACACGTTACAGGTAAGAACGATGTATACCCCTAAGTGTACGACCGAAGACGAAGAGGGCGGGTATCGAGGGTTTTAGATATACGTGTTGAGTGGCCCGCGAGCAGATAAGAGCGAACAGTCTTCAACTCATTGTTGTTGTTGTTGTTGAGCTCTCGCTATTGAATGATGACTATTGTTGATCCCCCCTGTGGGGCACATGTTTTTTTCCCAATTGAAAAGCCCTTCCTGGGGCTCGTACTGTTTTTTTAAATGAGGGAAAGCTTTTGGGTCTCAGCATTATGTTTTTGGCCCCCGTTCATCAACAACGACTCCCGCCTGATAGTTCTCACAAGGTATTCCCGAATTGCGCTCTCGCGCGGGACGTCCGCACAATTGCTGCAGGAATCGCTCTCTCGCATGGGACTTCCTCACCGTTTATTGAGTCGCCGCGTCCTTGACACTCAGTAATCACGCTCGCGCTGTGGATTTCCTGACGATTTGTTTGGGAATCGCGCTATCGCTCGAGACTTCCCTGCGATTCATGCAGGGCGCACGCTTCAGCAACCCGCCTGCTCAACCTGGCCGCTTGGGCCCGCCTTCCTGACCCGCCCGCTCGTTAGGGTCTACCCGCCCGTCTGGTTCTGCCACGTGTTTTCTGCTCCTGGCCCCCCTCCTGCTAATCATGTGCTCAATCCTTCTCCCTCCCCCTTGTCTCTTCCTTCCATCCGTCCTCGCTTCCCCTGCCATAGGGGCTGCACGAAATACACGTTACAGGTAAGACAGATGTATACTCAAGGGGGTACGATCGAAGACGAAGAGGGCGGGTATCGAGGGTTTTGGGTATACGTGTTGTTGAGTGGCCCGTGAGCAGATACGAGTGAACAGTCTTAAACTGAGTGTTGCTGTTGCTGTTGTTGTTGTTGCTGTTGCTGTTGTTGTCGAATTCTAATTTCTAAAAAATATTGATTGTTGATCCCCCCTGGCTTAGGGGTTGCACGATATGCATGTTGCAGGTAGCAAGGATATACCCCCCAAGCGGGTACGCTTGAAGACAAAGAGGGCGGTTGTCGAGGATTTGGGGTATACGCGATGACTGGCACGCGAGCGGATACGAGTGAACAGTCTTAACTTTAATGTTGTTGTTGTCGTTGTTGGATTCTCATTTCAAAATGATTTTGTGGATCCCACTGCCCAGTAACAATTGTATTTTTCAATTCAAAATGCTTCTCCTGTGGCTCGCACTTGTTTTTTTTTCAAGGGAAAGTGAAGTGCCACCAACGTGCAGGAAGGAAGAACGCGTGAAGCCACCCTTGGCGATCCCAGAACAAAAACCAAGTGCCGCAAAAAGTCGGCAGCGGCGTCATCGGCAGGCCGGCGTCTCGGCAGGCGGCGCTCGGGGGAGTGGGAGGAGGGGAGGGGAAGGAGGAAAGGGAAGGGAAGTGCTACTCATACTGAGATGCCGTGGTCCTGGTGCTGCTCCGCGTCGCGCTGCTCCGCGTCGGCGCACCGGTGCCTTTATGCCCACAGCTCCGCCAGCGTCCGTTCTGCGCCGCGGTGTCCGGCCGCGGCCTCCCTCAGCGCCTGCTGCAGAGCTCGTAGAGCAGCTTCAGCTGGCATCCCGCTGTGGGCCCGGGTCACGTTGGAGGCGCGGTAAACAGCATAGGCGCCAAGCGCTCCGAGTACCAAGGTGTTCTCCTTGAGCTGGAGATCGTGCGCGCCCAGCCAGTGTGGCAGCAACCACTCCGCCTCCAACCGAAGTGATGTGTGATGAAAGTGGCGGACAGTACAACAACGGGCGTAGTGCTCGATACTGTCCTCCGCTGCGCCGCCGCAGCCAAATCGTCAGAAATTTGTGGCATTCGCTCGACGTTGGAATCTCCGTTCAGTGCACCATCGGTTCCACGCAGTGCTGAACACCGCTGCGACGACGCGTGTGGGGACCAGGCCCCTCAGCAGCCCCAGTCGCTGTTCGAAACGCGTGGCGACATTCCTGGGCGTGTCTGGAAGCAGCCATCTGTCCAGCTTGTGCCGGATCCGGAAATGAGCTGGCGACCTATAATTGCGCCCGATGAGTTCTCTGGCGGCCGCCTGGAAGCTCTTCCCGCCCCCGAGGGCCTCCGCGGCAATGCTGTCCCTCGTAATGCCACGTGGGCGGAGCGCGCGCTCATTCCAGATCAGAACCGAAGGGATAGCTGCGACGAACCATTTGTCCCATAGCCCACGGCGTTGAGGGAAGTCTGTCTGGCCAAGAGCGTCCTGGAGCTGCAGACCCATGCCGTCGATCTGCAATCCACCGTGGGCGGAGTTCTCCAAGCATAGGACCCTCATCTGGCAGGCGCGCGCCATCGCCGCCACGGAGCCGAAGGAACGCGGCATGCCGTAGTGCTGCTTGAGGCCCCACAGATCCTCCTGCGTCGCCCAGTTGCCGGGCCCTGGCGCTGCCCTCTTGAGGGCCCATGCCTCTGCGTCAAGTGCCTCTTCAGATGGGCTTGCCACCGGCGCAATGAATGACAGCATGGGCAGCGCGTACGTGTTGTACGCGGCGGTAGCGAAGTGGAGGCCCATAGTGTTCCACGGCCACCCGCCCACCCTTTCGCGGAACTTCCGCACCGCAGAGCTCCAGAGCAGGTCCTCCTTGCTTGGCCCGACCGCGCAGCCCAAGTAAATCGTCGCCCGCTTCAGCGGAAGCTGCCCCCAAGCCGGGCATGCGCCTGCCTTTACTACTGCTGCGGACTCCAGCGAATCCTCTCACAGAGGGATGCCCACCGTCTTTGGCAAGTTTACCGACATGCCGGAGAGATCTCCGAATTCTCGCAGAGTTTGCTCAAGTACTGGAAGCTGCTTCTCCACGTCTGTGAGAACGATACCCACGTCGTCGGCAAAAGCGCGGATCGCCACTTCGGGACCCAGACGCTGGGCTAGAACGCGCAGCAGACGATCCATCGCAGTCGCGAAAACCAGCGGTGACAGCGGGCAGCCTTGGCGGATACCCGAGCTCATGTTGAACCCAGGGCAATGGCGGCCCCCCACGGACATGGCGCAGCGTCCGTTGTCGTACAAGGTGTCTAAGACCCAGAGCGCCTCGATCAGCATTCCACAACCTTCCAGGCATCGCCGGAGGTACCGGTGCGACACGCTTGGGAAGGCCGCCTTGAAGTCTATCAGTAGCAGCATCCCACGCGGCTTCTGCAGAGCTGCGAGAATGGCGTGGTGCTCCAGCTCCACCACGTTTGCCAGCATGGAGCGGCCGGGGAGGAAGCCTCTCTGGTTAGAGGACACCCATACGCCAAGCGGATCCCCCACCTGCTTTTGTACGCCCCCGCCATGATTCTGTTGGCGACGTCGACCAAAGACAATGGGCGCGTGCCGTCTGCCGTGAACACCTCTCCAATCACCGGGTCGATTTCCACAGCCTTCTTTGGAATGCAACACAGAAGCCCGAGGTTGAACGCGTGCCCGGCGGTCTCTGCGTCCCCTCCCAGTTCGTCCGCGTACGCGCGCTGGAGATCCTGGGGGGCCTTTGGGGACGACAGAGCACTAGCGGTCTCGTGGAGCACGTCCACAGCGAGCTTGCCCAAGCGCTTCCACAGGACGGCACTGATGCCGTCCGGCCCCGTGCCGTGGGCCGGGCCTGCTCCAGCGCTGCTTCCACGTCCTGCCTCCGCACTCGCCAGCTCGCGGGCCGCGTCGGCAGCGCGGCGGCGCCTTGAACCCCGCTCTCCTGCAGCCACGCCTCCAGCCTCTCGTGGTCCACCTCCCTCGCCGTGAAAACCCCTCGCCAGTGGCGCGCGAGTTCCTCTGCGATCTCGCCAGGCTCGGTGGCGATTCCACCGTCGCCCTTTCGCAGAGCGCGCAAACTCGTGCCTGAACCAGGCTTCAGCCGTCTGATCTTGTCCGCGACAGACTCCCGCCTGGCTGCGACCACCTCTGTGGCGAGCCTCGGCGCGTCAGCCTCCAAGTCGCAAAGATCCTGTCGGATGTCCTCCCTGGCAAGCTGTACCACTCCGTCTCGCAATGCTCTCTGCGCCTCCCCGTTTCCACCGTGAGCCGCCTCCAGGAGGTGGAGATCCAGTAGGCCTGGGAACTCCCTCCCCGCGCGCTGCACCGCTGCCCATCGTCCTTCCTCCACGGCGCGCAAACACCGGATCGCGCAACCCAGTCGGTCGGCGGCGGTCTCTGCCAGGGCCATCTCTGCGCCCTTGCACATCTCCAGGCTGACGCTCCAGATGGCGCGTTTTAGGAGAAGTAAGCGCCGGTGCGGCAACGTCGTCCGCCTGTCGCAGGTCTCCCCATCGCAGAGCTACGTTCTGCGCCAAAGCTGGGTGCCTGGAGGGCCCAGGCGGCACCGGACGCGCATCCCCTGCGCGTCGCGCTGGCGACCGGCGCGCCACTTCAGGGGGCGGTGGGCCGACAAGGTAACAATCCAATCGAGGGCTGCACACGACCACGTCCTGCATAGCATGTCAGGAACGTTCGGGTTCACGTATGCCCTGTCCAACCTTGAAGCGCCTTGCGATGTGCGGTGCGTGGGTTCAGGCTGCTGCGCCTCGAACATGGCGTGCGGTGTGAACAACGCTTCTGCGAAGTCGTCGTGCTCCTGCTCGTCTACGCCGCCGTTCCACGCACCCGAATCGAAGTGGATTCTGTCCCAGGCCTCTCGCACGAAGTTCCAGTCGCCGATCATCACGGTCAGCGCGCGGGCGGTTGGGCGGATGTCCGTGGACGCCCGATCCCTGATCGCAGCGCGCTGCTGCTCGGCCTGGCCGGTAGGCAAGTAGACCGTCACGATGTCCAGCGAGCCCCTTGGCCCATCCAATCGTAAGATATCTATCCGCCCAGGTTCAACGTCCACCCAGTCCACGCCATCTGCCCGATAAAACTTGCTCAGGAAGGAGTTTTTGACCAGCAGGCCGACCCCCTCCGCCGAGGCAGTGCCGTGGGACCACCACGCAGAAACGCCCTGCGGTAGTCGCAGTGTGAGAGCCGCTCCATGCGCGCCGTGAGTCTCCTGGACTGCGAGAAAATCAGCCTTTTTCAGAAGCTGGAGACAATGCTTTCTTCTCTTGACGATGGCGCCTCGCGTCCCGGGCGAAACACGCCTGAGAGTTCCAACTGCGCCCAACGAAGTCCCCAGCGTATGGCGCGGTCGATGCGCCCCCGCCTTCTGGAGACGCCGCAGGGGGCATCCCACGTGGGCGGGGTCCCGCCGAAGCGCTCGCAGGTGCTGGACACTGTAGTGCTGCTGGGTGCGCTGCTGCTGCCATCGGGGCTGCCAACTCTCCCGGCGTTGGTAATTGTGATGCTGCTGGATGCGTTGGTGCTGCTGCCAGTGGGGCTGTCCAGCCCCAGTTTGCTGCAGTCTGTGGCGCTGATGCGCGCACTGGCGCTGCTGCGAGCAAACCTGGCGGTTCCCATGGTGCTGGACACAGTGGAGCCGCTGATTTCGCTGGCTCTGCCACTAGCGCTGCAAGAGCCCGCTGTGCCGAAGACCGCGTTGCTGCTGGATGCGCTGATGCTGCTGTTAGTGGCACTGTCTGCGCCTGCCGTGCTGCTGGTGCTGCCGGCGCCTGCCGTGCTGCCAGTCCTGGTACATGCTCCGATGATGCTGCCGCTGGTGCTGCCGCAGGTGCCGTGGCCAGTGGTGGCTCAGATGTCCGTGGTGCTGTAAAATGCGGCGCTGCTGGATGCGGTGGTACTTCTGCCGGTGGGACTGCATGCCCCCGTCGAGCTGGAAATTGCTGTGCTGGTGAGCGCGTTGCTGCTGTCAGTAGGGCTGCAGACTGCTCTGGTGTAGGGGGCTGCGCTGCTGCTGGACGCATTGGTGCGGCTGCCGGAGTTGACGCTGCCATACTCCGTCGCACCGGAAATTGTGACGCTGTTGGGGGTGCTGGTGCTGCTGTCAGTGGAATTGTAAGGTTCCCTGGTGCTGGAAATCGCCGTAATGCTGGGTATGCTGGTGGTGATGCTGGGGGCGCTGCAGGTATTAGTGCTGGGATCTGCGGTGCGGCTGCCTGCGTCGGTGCTGCTGCCAGTGGCGGCACGGTCTTCCTTCCTTCCTGCACGTCATGGTCGGCACCGAGGCCGTCGCAGGCTGCGTCCAGACCGCGACTTTTCACGGGACTCGTTTGCCCGGCCTGGTCCCGCATAGGCTCCGTATCGGTGGCTGGCCCGCTGGCGGCCCTCTGGCTCCAGTCCCAAGCCACCCCCTGGGGGCTGCCCTCCTCGGGGGCTGGGGGCCGCTCCTTCCCTTTCCCTCTTCTCCCCTGCCCCCCTCCCCGTCTTTCCTCCTGCCACTCTCCGCCTCTGCTCCCGTACCCCTCCGCTTCCCTCCCCCTCCCCCTCCCCTTTTTCCCTCCTGCCCTGGCCTCCCCCTCTCCTCGTCGTCGTCGTCGGCCTTCGTCGTCGGGTGTCGTCGTCGTCGTCGTCGTCGTCGTCGTCGTCGTCGTCGTCTCGGTCGTGGTCGTGGTCGTGGTCGTGGTCGTCTCGTCGCCGTCGTCGTCGTTGGGGCCCGGCCCCCGTCTTCCTCGGGATTGTGGCCCCCCGCGGGGGTGGCGCGCATGGCAACGAGTTTTGATTTAAACCAGCGGCATCCTGCCAGAGGATTGTCCGCGCAGCTTTCCGAGCACGTGTGGCGCCAGAGACGCTGCAGGAGGGCTGCCTCTCCTCCTTCCTCCCTCCCTTCGCCTCCTCTTCGGCCGGCGCTGCCAGGTAGTCGGCGGGCGAGGCACCTCTGTTGCTAGTCAGCGGCCTGCGGCACTCTTTCAACGAATTGGGGCCCTTGTGGTGCAAGCTATCGTGTCCCCTGTCCCGGCCGCGTGGCCGATGGACTGGGACATATTCTGCGCCGAGCAGCCGATTGATGCTGCCTTCCTCCCTCGCCCCTTTCCTCCCGCTTTCCTCCCTTCCTCCCTCGCTCGCTGCCGCCTTCTTTCGGCGCACCGAGTCCGTGACGTGTCCTGGGCTCGGAGTGCCGAGCTCACGAGTGCCGAGCTCACGATTTTGTTGCGTAGCTGGCTGCAGCAGCGCCCAGTGCCTGCCGAGGCTGTCAAGAACGATTCGCTCTCCTCCCCTCTCGTCTCTTTCCTCTGCCCGTTTCGTCCTCGCTCGCCCCCCGAATTCTGCCTCGCGGGGCTCCAGATCTGGACCGTCGGCGAAGTGGGAAGTGCCTGTGATGTTGTTTCTCCTTATGTTCGAATCTCCGTCCAAGAGTGTGCACGCATTAGCTGGTAAGCATGAGTTTTTTTCGTGTCTCTAGAAGTGTTAATGCCCCATGCGCCGCCCTGCTGTCGGCTGACAGCGGCGCGGCCTGTGGCGCCAGTCTCCCGCCGGGCTCGCCTGCTGGGCACTCCGCCCCACGGGCCGCTGCTTCCCGTCGGCCTGTGGCCCCATTGTGGGTGATCACGGGCGTGTGCAGCTTATCCCACCACCCATTAATTATCCCAGTGCGACCCTACCTAGGAGTTGGAACCCTAGGAAAGCAGCATTAGTAGTAACAGTAAAGCTAAGCTAAATCTAAGCTAAAGCTAAGGTAAAGCTAAGCTAAAGCTAAGCTACAGCTAAGCTAAAGCTAAGCTGAAGCTAAGCTAAAGCTAAGCTAAGGCTAAGCTGAAGCTAAGCTAAAGCTAAGTTGAACCTAAGCTGAAGCTAATATGAAGCTAAACTACAGCTAAGCTAAAGCTAAAGCTAAGCTAAAGCTAAGCTAACGCCTGAGCTAAATCTAAGCTAAAGCTAAGCTAAAGCTAAGCTACAGCTAAGCTAAAACTAAGCTAAAGCTAAGCTGAAGCAAAGCGAAAGCTAAGCTAAAGCTAAGCTAAGACTAAGCTAAAACTAAGCTTAAGCTGAGCTAAAGCTAAGATGAAGCTAAGACAAAGCTGAAGCTAAGCTAAAGCTAAGCTAAAGCTAAGCTAAAGTTAAGCTAAAGCTAACTCTAAAGCTAAGCTAAAGCTAAGCTAAAGCTAAGCTAAAGCTAAGCTAACGCTAAGCTAAGCTAAGCTAAAGCTAAGCTAAAACTAAGCTAACGCTAAGCTAACACTAAGCTACAGCTAAGCTAACACTGAGCTGAAGCTAAGCTGAAACTAAGCTAAATCTAAGCTAAAATTAAGTTAACACTAAGCTAAAGCTAAACTAAAGCTAAGCTAAAGCTAAGCTAGAGCTAAGCTAAAGCTAAGCTAAAGCCAAGCTAAGGCTAAGCTAGCACTACGCTAAAGCTAAGCTAAAGCTAAGCTGAAGCTAAGCTGAAGCTAAGCTAAAGCTAAGCTAAATCTAAGCTAAAGCTAAGCTAAGCTAAATATAAATCTAAAGCTAAAGTTAAGCTGAAGCTAAGCTAACGCTCAGCTAAATATAAGCTAAAGTTAAGCTAAAGTTAAGCTACAGCTAAGCTAAAGCTAAGCTGATGCCTAAGATAAAGCGAAGCTAACGTTAAGCTAAAGCTAAGCTAAAGCTAAGCTAAAGTTGAGCTGAAACTAAACTAAAGCTAAACTAAAACTACGCTAAAGCTATGATCAAGCTAAGCTAAAACTAAGCTAAAGCTAAGCTAAAGCTAAGCTAAAGCTAAGCTAACGCTACGCTAAAGCTGAGCTACAGCTAAGCTAAAGCTAAGGTAAAGCTAAGCGACATCTAAGCTAACACTAAGCTAAGCTAACACTAAGCTGAAACTAAGCTAAAGCTAAGCTAACACTAAGCTGAAGCTAAGCTAATACTAAGCTGAAGCTAAGCTAAATCTAAGCTAAAGCTAAGCTAAATCTAAGCTAGAGCTAAGCTAACACTAAGCTAAAGCTAAGCTATAGCTAAAGCTAAAGCTAAAGCCAAGCTAAAGCTAAAGCTAAAGCTAAGGCTAAAGCTCCCAGGGGACTGGGGGAACCGCGGGGCGGGGACTGGGGGAACCGCCCGGGGCGATTAGCATTGCCCGGCCCCTTTAGCTAACAGAGTAAGAACCCTTCTAGGCAGAGCCTAGGTAGGGAACTATGACATCGCCTGTTGTATTGTATGCGGGTCTCACACGACCTTGCTTCCTCTGCTTCGGCATCGAGGCTGTTTGCAGGTTGTTTTTCTTCCCTTTCCCCCCTCCTCTTCCTCTTCCTCCTTCTCATCCTCCTCCCTCCAGCCCTTCTGCGCCAAGTTGCGTTGCAGGGGCGTTCTTCAGAAGGGCACGCGCTCCTGCGAGCCAAGCAATCTGACAGGATACCTTCACTTCCCAAGTCTGCCACGCCGCCATGGCGCCGCCTGCTTTAGCCCAGCGTGGGCGTGGAGCCCAGGCGCGTGCCAGCTGGCCGTGGCGAGAGCATGCCGCTGTCGACGGCTGGGCAGACTGGGATGCTCAGAGCCGTGCGTCCACATGGCAGTTCTTGCGGATGCAAAAGAACGAGCAGGGCTGGGCGCAGTGCAAGAACTGCTGGGCCTGGCGCGCTGTCCCGCGGACGGGCCAGTACTGGCCACAGTCGCAGGGCGTGTGGGCAGGCAGCGCTCCGCCTGGCACCTGGGAGCGTGCGCTGCCCCCTGCGCCTGCTGATGGCCTTGCTTGTCGCCCTGGCCCCCTCTTCTGGTCTGGAGACGGCAACCCCCTGGCGGCGTCGGGCCAGCTCTCCGACGCTGACCAGCTGGCGGGCTCGTGGACGGCTTGCGCCGCATCGGGGACCCCGAGGCCGCTGAGAAGTGGCAGCGGGAGTTCGACGCTCGCCTCCGCCGCCAGGCTGAGGAGGCCAAGGTCCACGTCCCGCTGGAGCATCAGGTCAACCCCGCTTTCAACGACATGCGCGCCCTGGAGACGAAGCTCGGGAAGAGCCTCAACGTCTTCGAGCGGTTGGAGAACGAGCTGGATGAACAACGGGGCCGAGTTCGTTCCCTCCGAGAGGAGGTGCATGTGGCCGAAGAGAAGCACAAGTCATTCGTCAGCCAGTTGCAGGCTTCGGCAGGTTGTCC